ACAATCTCTGAATTACTGACAAATACTTTAGGCACAGTGCGCAGCGCAGTGACGGAAGTGTTTGGTAGATGAGTAAATTCATCCGGTACAACGCTAGCAGGCCATGCTTTTGCAAAAATTGGCACTGCACTTCTGGTATCGTATTTATCTTGTTCCCTGCACCTCAGTACAACTCTTGTGTGCACGTGTGTTTTTCCGTTGTTAATTCTAAAGCCCGCTTGCCCTGGCGACCTGACATTGGTCATCTGAGACACCACTGCCATCCTCAGTAACTTTAACACCTTCTCTGACCCAACACTGCCATCACTGTTGTCCGTGGTAAACGGTCCACAAACAGTAGCGTTCAGGCGTGAAAGAAACTGGATTGATCATATTGAGCTATTCAATAGAAGAACAGTGCAAAATTTAGTTTCCCCAAAACACCAGCACCAGTTTTCTACGAAGCTCTTTTAAAAGCACATAATGATTTATATGCAAATAAACAATACTATATAAATGCATATGTATTCTTACTATAATTGTTAGGTCTGTGCCTTTTGTCTTTATTTTTTGGTATATGTTGAGATACTCAGCATGGGGTTGTTAGCAGTAGCACAAAGTGTAAGGAAGATGGCAGAGAGGTGGCGTAAGGCCTGATGTCATAATGTGAGTTTTGCATGTTGCACGACCTTGCTGTGTTTATGACAGAGGATGTTCTGCTGTGACAGTGATTCAAAATGACAGGTGCTTCCATCAGACAAGGGCTTGAGCCCAGGTGTGACGTAGAAGCTGTGCAATGTGGAGGACTCTGACTCCTTGCTTTGACTCTGCCCTCCCTGTCTGCAGGGATCCTGGGAGCTCACCGTCACATCTACATTCTAGCCAGAATGAATCAGGATTAAGGATCTAGGGAGCAGGAGACCCTTCCACTTAAAGGCACAATGAAGAAAAGTGTCTCTCGCACATACACACGTCTACACATTTTTAGCTTACATCCTGTGTGCCCCATCTCAACATACTAGCCAGAAAGGGATTAGGAAGCATAATCTTTGTCCTAGGCAAACACCTAGCCAGCTACAATTCTATGATTATGAAGGATGAGAGGAATAGATCTTGGAGGACAGCTTTTGGATTTCCTGGCATCTTTTTAACATAGAATTCCAGATGGCCACTAAGAACTGGCTGGATTTGGTTCAAAAGACAAAATAAGATACACCAGCAAGATCCAAAAAGCTCATATGTGAACCTTGGCCATAGATGTATCTCAGGCCCCGTTCACTCTTCATCCTGTGAGCTTGTTAGTGGGATAGAACAACAGCAGCTTGTTGGCTCTGGGAATCAGCTAGGCAAGCTGCCTAAAGTGCTAGGAGTTATTTTAGACTGTCCTGCTTCAGTTGATTTTTCCATGAACTCACACAACCTGACCTGTTCTGGGCTGGGTTCTGCATCATGCATGTGAATTCCCTAAAGGACCCTTTACTGCTCCTTTCACTGCACATCTTTTAACATGTTACATCCCAACTGTTCAAAATAAACAGGGTTATCCTGTGTTTGCACACCTTATGTAACTAATGTGAGTCCAAGATGAATCCTGGAAAATAGTCCCCATCAGACAGTGGGTTGGTTGGCTGTCCTCCCAGATCCAACACAAAAGGCAATGCTAAAACTGGGCTCTTTCCTTCTTGAAAGAAAAGTGCAGCAGTTGCTCCTCTTGCTGAATATAGAAAATGTTTGAGGACAGATGACTTGGGAAGACATGGCCATCGGGGAGGACACTTGAAGATTTCCGAGAACCAGAAACTACATTTGAGGAGTGAACAGATAGATGAGAGTACCTGCTCTCCCTGTCAAACGACAGTGCTTTGTGATGTTGGTTTTCACGCTGAGCAGATGCAGCTCTTATCACAAAGAACCTTAGAAGTAGTCAACCTAATGAGGGGTTGCGTTTCCTCCACCCCTGTAAAGAACAGCCAGGGCCTGCCTCTGGAACAGAAATACTGAAAATAGCATATTTCACATTATACATCACTAGATCTGCTCATCCTGCAGTCACCACTTTGCTCCCCAGGACCCTCATCCCCCAAAACAGATGTCGTATCTGACTTGTGCATAAGGAGCCAGCAACACCGCGGTCGACACATCTTCTGTCTATGGTCCATTCAGATTTCTCGCAACTCTTTGCTCCTTAAGAAAAAGGGAAGACGTAGGTCAGAAAAACTAGAGTGGGAGAGGCCAGTCGAAGATGCATTATACAATATTAAATCATACCTAAAGGGTGTGCCTACAATGGTGAGGCCAATATAATAGATATGGTACTTACACAGGAAATGTGGATGGTGAATGACAAAACAACTTACATTTATTCCCAACCCGTAGCCTAAACTTGATATTCTGTTGGAATAAGGATGGTGCATAGGTTCTGTTCTGAGTGTGAGCTATAATTGTTTCTTTTCTCATCATGCTCCTGAGTATCCCAAATTCGTTTCCTGTTCCCTGTGCCCTGACCCTCATGAGGGTGTAACTCATTCAGCTGCTGTTTCGTACTGAGTGAAAGTGGCTCCACTGTACTCTCCCTCTTCTACTAAGATGCTACAGATGGCAGCAAAACACATCAGATTTCTTCCCAAAATCAAGCCAAGAGCCAAGCACAAGTTGTCACTTAAAGTCAGCAGTTCAACAGTGATTACTGTCTCTGTGTCACCCCCTTCGAACTTTAATTTGTAGGCTCTTTCTTCAGAAGTACTTTATTTTGTGCCTGCAACTTACAAAGCCCCATAGGGTTCCAAGCTGAATAAAGCATAACCTCGTACTCAAAGAACCTATTCTTACAAATAAGTTATAATATAACCACTTAGCATTATCCTACGCAATTTTTAAGAAATAACCAATATCAGTTCTTACATTCATAAGTACAAGTCAAGTAAGAAAGCCCAGAATAACAACGCTAATAGGTGAACAATTCAAGAAGCCCTGCTTGGACCGCTCTGTTTTACTGCATGGACACACAATGATCCACACACAGCAGCTCAGGCAAAGCAGCAAGGGCCCAACTCCCCTTAGAGATACAAAGTGTAACAAGAATCCAGAGTGTGTGTGTGTGAGGGGCTGTTCATGAGCAGAAAAACAGTCACGGGCAGAAAATGTTTAAGATTTTGGTTGAGAGCATGGTGTACAGGATGGAAAGCATACAAGTGAATGCTTTCAACATCAGAAATATAGTGCACTGTGTGTAAGCTTACTGTATAAATTACCTTTTTGAATAAGATTTCAACTGCAAACATGAATCAGTAACACCTGTGACCTCGTTCTAGTTTAATATGTAAAATCATAAGAAAAAAATCCATGTTTCACTGTTTCCCGTCAATTGGTTGATTTATAGGAAAATATTAAACTAGTACGTTTATCCAGGGAGTTAACGTGGCAGAACTTCTACTGAAACCTGAACTTCAGATTTCCAGTGTGCTATTCATCACTCAGAGTTAGGTCCCTGCCTCAATTCGGGTAGTACTGTCTTCAATTCTGTTCACCCTCAAAACTGGAATAAGACAAGGCTTACCTATATACCCAAATAAGAAACAGGATACTCAGGCTAGCATGCAAAATCCTTACCCCTTTATCCCACACCTTAGCCCTTGAGACCATTTATTGCATCCTCAAAGTAAGGAAACATGAAAGTATTTGACCCTCACTATAGTGTCATTTAAACCTTGGTTCATTAGAAAGATTCAACTGATGAAACCAGCACGGTCTTCTCTTTGCAGAGGAGATGGTGCTAAGCCAATTCTGTGCTCAATCCCATCAAATGTTTGTGCTAAATGCCCAGGATGATTGATGGCAATATCATCCAGTTGAAGATTGTCATAGTATTTAGCAAGCAGGGGAACAGCCTAGCATAGTGGAAGAATGGCCTGGAAAATGTGTGCTTACAAGGTGAATACATTTCCTCGACAGTGTGGTAGGTTGGGACTTCCTGGGAAGACGGGTAATGGCTGCTTGTGGCTTGTCCAGAGAACCCAGCATTTCCCTTCTGTGTCCGGAGACGGATTGCTTATGTTGTTTTTTCTTTTCTTATGCAAGGGTATCTTTTCCAGACTAGAACCACTGAGTAGTCTTGAGAAGGGGTGGGGGTCCCATCATGCCTATCAGCCCTGCTATCCCTTGCCCAGCCCCTACTTCTCAAAAACAGACCCAGGTTGAGGCAGCTCTGAGTATGAGGCTCGATCCCAGGAAAGCAGAAGCAGAGCCAGTCCTGGCCCACAGGGTTCTCCTGAGAGGCCTGCATTGGAAATGAGATGCCGACTAGCTAGTTTAATCAATTAGCAACTCTATCGACATGAGACTGTCATTCAGCGTTCATGTCAATCTGAAGTAGAATAGCCAAATTAGCGGGACATTTGTTATACTAAAATGGCTTTGTTTTGCTGTTTATAGAGCGAGAGTCATGTATGTTGGTCGGTGAGGAGAGTAGGGGCATCAGTTGAGTAAACAGCATTTCTGTACATAGTGACATAGTGACAAGTTGGCATTGTTGTAGTGCATTCCATCATATGCAAGTAATCACTGGAGAGCAGGACATTGGTTTCTCTAAGAACGAAAAACTGTTGTTAAAAGGAAGAAATTCAGTTCCTATCGTGGAAGACAGAACAATTCATAAGCGTCTTTGTAATTTACACATGATATTTTCTGAAGCTTCATCAAGGACTAGGCACTGATTCAAACACTCAACAAGAGGAGCTCCTTTGAGCCCTTCCACCATCGCAAGCCTGTTCCTGGTTGAAGCAGAACCACAAAGGGCTCTTCCTCCACAAAAGAAGCGTTGCTTTGAAGGACCTAATGGGACACTGGGTGGCATGAGATGGAGGCTGACAGAAAGGCTGCGTAATTCTTTGCATAGATCTTAAGTGCAACTTGGGTTGCAGTCATATGTCTGAATTTATACTAACTGGATAATCGGTCTGCTTTAATAACATGTGTATCCAACCATTGGGTTGTAGAAATTTCAAAGATTTTTTTTTTGACAGGATGCCTGCCGTTTTTCTCTCTTGATTCCCGCTTGTTTTGTTCATTTTGGGGTAGTTGCCATTTAGACCCAGTTGGTAAGTATAATTAACAGAAAACTTGAACTTCCTCTTAAACCCCACCCAAAAATTAACCACCGAAGCTTTCATTTCTTTTAAAAATTCCTAACAGTATTACTCCCAGTGACTCCTGTTTCTTTCTCTGTCTCTTCTAAGATAAGCAAACACTTCAGAAGTGAATTATTTCCTATTTATGCTCCTAAGATGACATACTAAACAGCTTGCCAGAATATTAGGTAGGATACTAGTGAAGGAAAATGAGTGTTTACTTAGATTGTAGGCACCATGCAAAGAGTTTTCTGTATTCTGTTTAGCAGTCAGAAAAACCCTCCAGATTCAACTGGCAGCTTGGAGAGTTAAACACTTGCCTGAAATCCAGTTAGTGGGAAATTCACTCACAAACTTCAGCTAATGTGCTTGCACACCCTTGTTCCTTCCATCCTACGTGGGGAAGCATTGTCTCATCAAAAAGAGATTTCTCTAAAGCGTTCATAGCTTTGAGAGCTTGAGGTTCACTGTTGCACTCAACTGAGCACAGACTCTGTGCCAGACCCAAGCTGAGCACTGGTTTGTTGAAATGAGTCATTGAGTTGCACTTTGGGAAAAGGATGGGAGTTAGTGGCAATAAGGTGATGGTGGAGGAAGTGGGCCAGGATCATAGGGAGGGGTGAGGAGTAGAGGCGGGCAGTGGGCTCCTATTCATGTTCCCATTGGGAGGGGTGAGGGGTGGAGGCGGGCAGTGGGCTCCTGTTGTCCCCATGGGGAGGGGTGAGTAGTGGAGGTGACAGGTGAGGTGAGCAGTGGGCTCCTGCTCATGTCCCCATGGGGCAGTGGGCTCCTGTTCACGTCCCCATGGGGAGGGGGGAGGGGTGGAGGTGAGGGATGAAGCAAGCAGTGGGCTCCTGTTCATGCGCCCATGGGGAGGGGTGAGCTGTGGAGGAAAGCAGTGGCTCCTGTTCGTGTCCCCATGGCTACAGTCTTTCTTCACGTGACTCGTGGACTTCCCTTTGTCATCCTATGCCTGACAATATATGAAGGAGGCTGGGAAGGCAAAGGGACGTTCAGTTGTCATCACTGGCATCTGTTTTGATCATTGCACCATCATCAAACACACTGGGGTAACCATCACCAGACTTTTCATCACTAAACCTGTAACTGTCCCACGGGACAAGCAACAACTCTTCATGTTGAAGGTCATTGAACTTAACCAGGGACATCTAGAAGTGCGAAGGAATGAAATGTGTTCTCTTAGACTGACTGTCCCAGATTCAAACCATGAGGACTTGGAAAGGAAATTAAGATCCATCTGGGCAAATTATGTCTATCAATGATATCTTATTGGGTTCTGTGTATACTCTAATAAGTTCTAGCCAAGCATGTAGACGCTGTGGTTACCACTCAGCATAGGTAAAGTCGTTGAACACACAGATAACCAAATTCACGGCCAGCTGTTCTAAACACGTGAGTCACATTCTATCTTGAGGCGGGTGAAGAATTATTCTGTGAAGAATAATACGAAGAAAATATCCTGGCTTTTTTCATGACATGACCTGATACAAGTGGGCGTTGAACTGCTTGTCACACACATTCATGAGGAGTCACTTTGTCAATCAAGAAAACAATAAAACCAAAACAACTTTGGGGAACCAGAACAAATTTTGTTGAAATCATCTGTCTCTTATCTGATGGGAAGTTTTTTCAACAATAGACGTTTCCTCATTGGAATTACTTGCTCAGGGACTGGGATATTTCTTAGGGATAAGTAATTCTGAAAAGGGAACAGATGCCCCCAAACCTTAGGTACTTTTCCAGGCATGGAAGAACTCTGGAATCTTGCAGATTAGTCAATTATGTGCAGACTAGCAAATATCTCACTGGCGTTTTCAAAGTCAGTAGAGAAGTTGCTGATGCTAGCCAGACACAAAATGGTCTATCATCATAGAATATACCTTCTTGAAGGGACCCAATCTCTTCCTAAAGACATTCTCTATGCTTCTGAGGCCATGCAGACTTATTCTGCCGTAACACTTTCTGGAACTCTGTCTCACTCATTCCAAGCTACCTCCCATTTTCCAGGAATGGCATGCCCTGTCAGACAGAAACAGTCTCTGCCCATGCTGCCTCTCCAGCCCTGACCTAGACTCTCCTAGTCTCAGTGTGAACATCTCCCGAGTCTTAGGAAGCTCCCGCCAGCCTCCTTGCCCTGTGAGATCCTGCTCGGCCAGTCTGAGCACAACCCGCTGCTCCTGGTGTTCTGTGCACTCCTGAGCCACGGCGTCAGGTGTGTCGGTGCAGCAACTTTCCATCTCTCGTCATCTGTAGACTAGGAAAACGTAGAGGGAATCACAGAGCAGAGTCCCTGTCACTTTCGTTGCCATGCTCAGTACTGACCACGCTGCCTAGCATATGGAATAGTACTCAATAAATTGTTATCAGTACCAGTATTTGGTTTTCCCTGCTCTATTTTTAGCTCTGGTTTGCAGCCCGACATTAGGGCTTAGATACTAAAGGCAATAAAAGAAAGACAGTAGTAGGAGCATAGTAAGACTCAAGGACAAAGATACAGGAACATGCATAAGCACAGAGTGCGACCCGCACTGCCAGCTCACAGGGACGGAAGCATGAGACCTGCAGAGTATGTCTCTTCCCGTCAGATCAGAATTATTAGTAAGTCATTGCCATCTTTTGAATTTAGAGAATTTAGCACTATATATCCATGCGGCCACATCCAATGCCATCAAGACATTTATTTCCATTTGTGCATGAAAAGTTACCATTGATTTTTTTCTTCCTTACTTGTTCAAAGCAGTAATTGCTCATAAATACTTTTCAGGCTAGATTAAAATCAGTCTATTGGGTAGCTATGCATAGCTAACTTTAAAAATTTAGACAAAGATAAAATAAATGGGAAAACTTATGCTGACAATACTTTTCTGCTGTAATCAAACAACTTCACTGTGGAATATATTTAGAGAAGATAAGGTATCTTATCCCTGGGATCTTAAAGCAATGCAAGGCAAACCAGGCTGGTATTTTAATTTGCTCAGCATAGTTAAGGCCAAAGAATTTATCAGAGGACTGTTCAAAGTCCCTTTCCCAGGATTTATTAAAATTATTTTATAATTTATAATAACTAAATATTTGGATTACATCAAACCATAGTAAATAATGGGTAGGACTCATGCACGCTTGAGAAATGGCTAAAAGCAGTGCTCTCAAATGTCACTAAGAGTTGTCTTTGTTCTAATAGAATAAAAATCTGTAACCTTGGACCTTCAATTTAGTATCAGTAACCCTAATAAAAGCCAAATAAGCAAACTACTGGGGTTTTTTTTCTCTTGGCATTTATAGCTGAAACAAACAGTCATTCCCCTTGCGGAATAGGTTGTCCCTGCTCTGTGTTGGAAGCAACATTTGAAAAGCTATACAAAGCATTCCACATGCCACAGCCCAGCAGGCAACCTCTCAAGTCCACAGTCACAGTCTGGGGAATCAATGGCTTGTTGTCTACCAGGCTCGGTGTCTCTGTGTCCACAGAGGGTTCTGGAAAGAGGCAGAATGCACAAACAGGTCACCTCTGCCAAAACCCAGAAGTGAGGGCTCAAGCGTCAGCTGCTTTGTTCATTGCCTGTCTGAGCTACATGTTCTCAGCAGCATTTCTTCCACCAAGGGGGAACCCGGGAAGGGCAGGCTGACTCTAGGGCACATGAAGTTTGTTATGAAATCCTGGTGCACTCTGTGAGGCACGTGGCTATTAAACATGTTAGAACCACATGAGTAGGTTCGTGGAGCAGTAGAGGACTCATTCCACCCTCGTCTTCCTATTGTCAGATTCAGTTCTTTTGGCTCAGTTCACTGAGGATTCCATCTGTTCTATTGATTTGCTTACTCCCATTATTCAAGTAATGAGAACCATTCGTAAACTTAGCTTTGTCAGACATTTCATGGAAAGTTTTCCTAATTCAAATAAGTCCAATTCCAATTCCGTTTCTTTCTAGCTTTTGGTAGTGTTTTACTTTTATTTATTTTTATTTCTTTGAGAGACAGATGGCTATAGAGAACTCACACAGTTCAGCCCCTGACTGCTTATGTGGCAGAAGTTAAGCCAAGCTGAAGCCAGAAGCCTGGAACTCAGTCCGAGTCTCCCACACGGGTGGGTAGCAGGAACCCAGCCACCTGAGCCATCACTGCCTCCCAAAGTGTTTAGGAACAAAAAGTTGGAACTAGAAGTGGATCCAGGCCTTGAAACCAGGTGCGCTGATGTGGGCGCTCCAGGGGCATCTTTACTGCCCAAACACTTGCTCCAGTAAAGTCGGTGTTCATCTGTATCATGTCCTGTGTGCTGCTCCCTCACCCATGCTGCCCTAGTGCGGAACACTGGGAGAGGGCCTTTAACCTTCCCTTGGTCGAGATAACACTGACACAGTCACTGCCCTAGTTTGTCAGCGCAGGTGGCTCTCAACTCGGAGAGTCAGTGGAATCTTGGCTGCCTCAGACATCACTGCCCTGGGGCTCAGCATCCTGCAGCCTATTCAGAGTAAGGACCCTCAGACAAGGTGCCTGCATCAAACCTCAACCTCATGAGACATAAACATGGGGGAAAGAGAGAAGTAAAAGATACTGGGGAGTGGTAAGTGCTAGGGAGAAAAATATAAAACAGAGAGGAGGTAGGGTGTGCAGGAAGCGGCTGCAATGTTAAACAGAGTGGTGGGAAGTTAGAATAGGGCAAGAACCCAGAACTGTCTTGGGATAGTCCTAGTGTTCAAGCCGAGGCAGATTCAGGGAAGCAGCAAGAAGAGGAAGGGAGAGTTAGTCAAGAAAGAGAGAAGCAGGAGCCATCACAATTTGAAAACCTACTGAAGAAGGTATTTCCCATAGGAAGAGAGGGCACACAGAGCCAGAAGCTGCTGACAGGAGGAGACCTGGGAAATGACCACCACCAGGGACCTAACTGGTCACCACCAGGAATCTTGCAATTCCTTCTTTCTCCTTGTCCTGGGCTTGGACAGTGTCTGCAC